ATAGTTTCATTCAGTTAGACAATGGAACACTGTTCCAGTTTAAAGAGGCTCAAACAGTCAAAAGAAACGGTGACAAAACTCATTACAAACTAAGAGAATTGCTAGCAGTTCTCAAAAACTCAAAAATTCAAACAATGAAAAAACTCATTGATGCAAGGATTGTAGGAAAAAGCTTTTAGCTCAAACATTGGCCAATTAAATATCATCCAACCACAGAAAAAGGAATAAGCAAAAAGGATAGTCCAGACTCCAGACAATGTTTAAATTTCTTTTCAAAAGTAGCCCTGACAAGCATGAACCACACCCAAAATACATGTCTTTGAGGTAGGTGATGTTTGAACCGTGAATAGCAACTGTCGAGAGACCACAGACCATTCAATTTTACATTACCTTTATAGTCCATGCTGATGAACCTCCTGTTCACTCTATGAGACTCTGCTCAACACAAAGATATACTTTCCACGAGGACGGAATAAAGGTTATCTCAATCCAAGCCTAAAACATCAGTCTAATGTTGATACTATCATCCTGAAAGAGATAAGCACTATGGTAAACAATCTTAAAGTCTAAACCACAGAATTAGGAATTTGCAATTGCAATAAACAAATCTACATCCAAACACCAATATGAATTTCCCACTTTACCAAGGCATACAAAAATACCGAAAAAGAACAGGCTACTCAACCACCCTTACAATCTCCATAGCACAATTTTTGCAAGAGAAAATTGAGTTGTTAGTAGACCCAGATGTTGCACTTGCTCTGTCTGGTAAATGCTTGTGTTCTCTCTTCATATCTATGTCTAACCGAGCTAGATTTCGAATCTTAATCCATAACTACTTGAAATGTCAATAATAATAATAATACAAAAACACACACACACGCACACAGTTTTCAAACCGTAATAAACAATTAAATGACATGTATTAGGTTGTGAAACCATCAATCTCTCTTCCATCTGCAAGCAATTCATACATTCAGGAAAATAGACAAGTATAAAGTTGAAAACCCAATAGGGAAATTAAAGGAAAAGCATGAAGAAAGTACCTGGCTTAAAGCACAATGAAAAACAGGAGCATCTTTTCCTTTGACATCTTGCATAAGATTGGAGACCATATCAGTAAAAGAGTCACTGGCATAGTGCAAGTGTGAAGTAAAATAAAAAATCTCATATGAGTATTAAAATTAATTTTAAAATATAAATGTTCACACTACTTTTTTTTGACACATCTTTTATAAGATAAAATCATGAGGTCAGAAGGACCAAAACGAATAATACCTCGTAAAGATATGAATCGTGATGAGTAAGCTGATCTAAGACGCTAGATGAATGCATGTCCGAATCTTGGATTCTGAAGCCATGAAGGATTGGAGATTAAGTGTTAATTCGTGATAAGTGATATCAGAATCAATTCTACGAGTACTAAGTAAGCACTCGTTAGAGTAGAAATGATGTCGTGATCCTAAAGTAAAATCAGGTTCACACTGTTTCTTCCTTAGAATACCTCTTGTGAGATAAAACTATAAAATTAAAAGAATCAGATAAAATCTCATAAAGATATGAACTGTAATAAATAAATTGATGTAAGATACCAATAAATGTATATCCAAATCTTAAAATCACGCGAACATAAAAATTGAGTTTCGAATGTGACACAAAAACCCAGCTATATGCCCATCGTAACTCCTTTCATCATCCCTTGAATCCCCACAAAACCGAAACACCCAAATTAATATATTCACAAATAATCAAACAAAACTACAATATAATACTTAAAATCAAATAAAAATTAAAAAGTAAAAAAGAAGAAAAGAAAGGGAAAAAAAAGACGTGAACCTGACATCTGTGATGGCGATATTGGGACGGCATTTACGGGAAAGGAGTTGACAGCCCGTAATGTAAGAGATGGTTCGAGCTATTCACTTTGCTGGGTCTCTTACTGTCTTTTGTTCTTGTCTAGAACAGAACCAAGATTGAGTTATTGAAGTGGAGAATCTGATCGTGTAATGATTTGGTCGTTGGATTTCCGCGGCTTTGTTTGGCTGACTTTATTTCATTAATAATTCAGTGTGATTTTATTTTATTTTTTGTTTAAAAAGATTTAATATAAATAAAAAGGGTTTTCCCTCGTAAATGCTTAAAATATATTTAATCCTTGATTGTTCACTGTTTAGTTCAGGTTATTTTTCATATATACAAATTATATTATCTAAATTATCTTTCATTTTAGTTCCACGTTATATTACTATTTATTTTTTTATACTAAAAATTTAAAATAAATAAATTATTTAATTTTTATATTTAAATAAAATATATCATATTTAATAATCTAAGATAAATGATTATAGATTATATATTTGAAATGATTCTAACAAATAATCATCAATAGAACTTAAATTAAAATTTTTCGTTAAAAAAACGAATCTTAATTGATAAATCAATCATTTGTTGATTATATTATTATTTATTTACGTTTTATATTAAGTCAAAATTTTCAACTCTTAACTCTTTATTTTTACTTTAAAATAATTTATAATTTATTATTTTTTACTCATTTTTTAAAAATTATTAATTATTTATATTCCTGCTGCATAATGCAGGTATTTCGTAGTTTTTACTGATGATGATCGTGAAAAAAATATTTGCCTGGGTTTAGGGTATCTGACGATTGCAATAATTTTGGTTGATATCGTCCGACTGCCTTGAACATGATCTTGCAGTTTGTGAACATAATTTTGTGATATTTTCTTCTCCTCCGTCCTTTTTCCAACTATATTTACATTACAATTTGCATAAAGTATGTCAAAATTTAAAATTAAAATTTTAAGAATAACGGAGATTAAATCAAGTTTGGATCGGATTCATACTTGATATTAATAATTTATATATTTATTTAAGTTTAATTCGATTTGATATTTTAAATTTTAAAATTTTTTAAATTTAACTTAAATTAAAAAAATAAATATTAAATTCACTTATTAAACTTAATTTATATAATAAAAAATTAAAAATTATTTTAAAAAATATAAAAAATAAAAATTCACATATACACTTATAAATTATAATATTTTAATTATATAATTTATTTAAGCGGTATCAAGTCAGATTAAAAATTTAATTTTTTTGTTAAAGATTCAACTTAAAATTTATGTCCAAATTTCTTTAATGAGTTTTAATATTTTGTTCAAATTTTTGAATTTGAACAGTAACCAGATCTTTAAACATCTATCTAAAAACTATACGGCCGTATATTTGATACAATCTTAACAAGGATCCTGGCTAGTCCGAGGTAGAAGATACAGTATTTCTTAGCTGTTTTAGAGTGCCATCATCTTTGATCCTTGGGTTGTGTCTGGCTAGACCTCGAAAAGAAGAGAAATCATAACGAATATTTGGACTTTGAACGCATATTTTTGGGTTCGGGAACATTCTATCATGGAAATGCCAAAAAGAAGAATGACCCCCAGAGAAAGAGAAGATTTGGACTTTGAACGCATATTTTTGGGTTTGGAAACATTCCATCATTTTCTATCCGTTTTAAACTTTAAAGAGTTGTAAACCTCCTTACCAACGATCCTATTTGTTTCGTACTTCCATTTAGCCGTCATGGAGTCTTTCTTTTGAATTATTGTTGGCCAAAGCATCTCTAATTGCGTTAAGTACTCCGTCGATAATTGCTAAAATCAAGACAATGAATTCATGTTTTTCTCCAATCATCGTTCTATCAGCTAGCTGCTGCCATTATTTATTGTCAGGGTCACGCCTGTTTTAGATTCTTTGCTAAGTTGCTGTCTACCTTTTCTTGGTTAGAAAGTGGGTTGAAAATTACATTAAACCAAATGCTTAAAACCCACCAACACAATTCCATGAGGGATCCTTTTTTCTTCCATCTTTATCGAGCTTGAACCAAATGAAAAAAAGAGAGCTCTCAACAGTCTTGACATGGCCTATATATCTTATAGCAAAGCAACAGAGAAACAAAAGAATGACTTACCCTTTTTGCCATTGAAGCTGCTGATAATATATAACAAGGCAAAGTATGACACAGGTGCTTGTGGGAGTTGCAGTTCGCAGAAACTAACACTGAAGCTCACTTCTTGTGCTGATAAAGCCAAATCCTTTTTTCAGTCTAAAGAAAGGAATCAGTTAGAAAAGAAAAAGTCAGGTTAAAAAAGAAAGGCCAAAATGAGATTGACTAGAGGTTGGGGTATCCAAGACTTGTCACTATTGATTCACAAGCTTTTACAGGCTTTTTTAATGTGCCTGCAGTTCTTTCTACTGGTTGCATTCTTTCTGGAATTTTTTTATGTACTTTGGATACCCCATAACTCATTGATCGATTCTTGGGATTTGCGCCCTTATGAATAATGATTGTCATATTCTAGCATTCTAACATGCTCTGTTTTTTATCGACCCATATTGTTTCATGTATCATTTACACTAAAATTATTATATTAAAAAATATTATAAACACATAAAAATATACACATATGTACATAATATACACATATTTTATGATGATATTTAAAAAAAAAAAAAGATTTTTATTAGGTTAAAAAAGTTGATGTAATAAAAAATTAATTATGTGTATATATGTGTATTTTTTATATTTAGATAGTTTTTTAAAAATAAAAATAACAATAAAAAAATAACTTTTACTTTTATTGAGAAATGACAATTGAAACACACACTCAAACCCCATGACCCAAATATCTGTGGCTTCATCATCCCATTCTGTCCCATCTCTTTTATTTTTATAGTATTTTGTTTCTCCCTTTGTATTTTTCCAAGCTGATATACACCAAGAGAGCACCACAACAAAAATACAGAAATTCATTCTTCTTTCATTTTCTCTTTTGTAGCCTTGGACGCTCAACAACTCTTGCATTAATATTGTTGGCAAGTAGGATCCATCTCAAGACACCTGGAAAACAAGTGGACAAATAGTAAAATTCTTTCACAACAGAAGTAAAAATTTTGATTGAACTGTTATTAGTTCACTAGCTCCAACACTCTGGGGTTAAGGCATGGTTCCTTTTGGGGTCCCTGCAATAGTCATACACTATATGGTATCTTTGAACCCATCTCATTGCTCTATATTGTTGCCTGGTTAGCCCGCCGGACCGGAAAGGCGAGGCGGACACTGGGCGGCACCAAGCTGGTGCATAGGCGGAGCACCCACCTGCTTTGAAATTGGTGTACTTCGCAACAAATGGTTGGTATCTGTAATCAGCTTTGTATTTTCCATCTTCAGTTGCCCATGATGAGGCATCCCATATTGAACCATACACCCACATTGGCCTTAGAGGAAATGTTGCAGCACTCTTCCTTGGATACCTCCTTATAGGCACATCATCCACTAGGAATCTGATACAAATATCAGATAAATCAACAAATAGAATACTTACAAACATCTTAGACAAAGGGGAAAAAAATGATCATACTTTGTTGCAATCTAATATAAATACTATATCACTCTTGGCCGAAAAAAGAATACAAATACTTTGTTGAATCTCAATTTTTAAAAATAATTACACGATTAAAACCGAGTTAACTTGGTTTAGTTCTTACTTTCTTTACCTACTTTAAATAAATCTTTGCAATTTATAGAAAATCTATGTCATGCATGTGATCTACTTTGGCATTGATATTTCCCATGTCTTAATCACTTTGACCAATTATTAATGTTATAGATGGATTAATATAATTTCCTGACTTTTCTGCATGATCATTTGGCGAAAGCAAATGACCAAAATGTTCATTATTCAAGTTCTAATTTATTAAGCCTGAAAAGGCAAACATTACTTAATTGCCAATAAGGACAAGTCCACATCCTCCCCAACTCCCATCAATTCCCAAGAAATTAATTATAGTTCTCCGATTAGACATTGTAATATGGCAGGCAATCATTCGTATTTCAATATTTCTTCAGGGTAGAGAGTTTAGTTTGACCATAAGGTCCATAACCAAGATTTCAGCATTGGCTGGTTTCTAGATATACTTACATGATCTCCGTAGGACTCCAAAGAATGGCATAGTGGTGAAAGTCTTGGGTTGGATCAAACCAAAGATGAAACTTCATTTCCCTTCCAATGATTTTTCCATCACCACTCCCTCTGATATACACATTGGTCTGTAAAGTATAAGGCTTCCCAATTGTAGTTCCAAGGAACTCTATGTCCACTTCATCATGGAATCCTGGATGAGCTTCATTGTTTGATAGCTGCCATTTTTATGATCATTTGTCGATTAGAGAGCAGCAGGAAAACCACATAGTTTCAAGAAGCTTAAAAAAGAGCATATTGATTATTAATTAGAAAAGTGAGAAATGATATATAGGTTAGTTCAATTCTCACATAGAAAGCTGTTATGACCCCTGCGGTGTAACCAGATTGGACCTTAATAGAGGCTCCAAAGTAACCAGAACGAAAAGGACGAACTGACTTGAATCCACTTCCTGTTAACCAAATACAGGGAAAAAGATCAGATAGAATTTCCCACAATATAAAAACTAAAGAAACAGAATCAGATGAAGGGAAGGTATTTGATTAATATAAGCTAATACTACTAAGACCTGAAGTTCTGTCAAGCCAGATTGTCAATGCATTTTGGTCTACACTTTGATGGCCAGGACCCCAAAGATTCCTAAACCCATAATAAAAGCTCATAGGCCTAAATTTAGAGCTTGGCCAATAGCCAGGAGAAGGTGGCCATTCAGCATTGGTTGAAGGAAACAATAGAATGAGAAGAAGCGAGAGAAAGAGAGCCATGAAGAATGAAGAGGGAAAGCAAAGACGAGAAGGAGAAACCCAATGGGGAAAGTAGAATGATTGGAGAGTGTATAAATGCTGGTTGTGTGACTTGTGAGAGAGAGAAAGCAATGGGACAAGGTGTACATGGAGGAGGAAGAGTATGGCAGTACATTTGGTATTTAAAAAAAAAAAAAGATTTGTCGGTCCCCACTGGGAGAGATCTAATGAGGAAGCTGATATTGAAGGGCAAACAGGCTCAAAATTCAAACAGATTTCTCATAAATACGGATAAAAATCAGTTCATGGGTGTCATATTGTATCAAAATTTATAGTCCCTGGTAACTAGTAGAAAGTACATACAATGTTTTGCCCCGATCACAACCACATCCCTTCCCATTCTTTATGAGAAAACCTGTTTGCTTGGCTTTACTTTGCTGGAAAGCTAGGAAAAGAAGATCAGATTCAAATGCAGAAGAGTTAATGGGCATCTCTTAAATGTATTTTTTTCTGTTTGTCCACAGGATCTTGTGCTATTTAATCCTTTTTCTCTCATTTGAAAGCTACATGCTGACATGCACCTCTGTCTCTCAGCCTTTGAAGCCAACATACATTGTTATATTAACCCAAATGGCTTGTGTTTTTTTTACCATTGATCTCTTTTAGCTTGCAGTCTCAGGCAATCGAGGTTTGGGTGAGGGTCACTTCCTGATTTTTAGTCAATTTTGGGAATGAAAATGTGAAAATTTGTGCTTTTGAACCTCTGAACTTCTTAAATGGAGTGGGTTATAGCTATCCCGTTTGGGGCCCTGTGTTCGATTTTGATTATACTTGTGATTGATTAAGACTTCAGATACTATTATTTCAGAATTTCCAATTGGTTTTGTTATCTTCACTGAATCTGTAATTTATTGTAATTCACAAATCAGATGGTAAATTGGCCATCCTTTCCTGTAGACTTTTCATTTTCGAGCTAGTCCTCATGATATTCCATTTCCATGTTTTTACAAATGTCAATGAAAAACAGCCTGCCTAGAGTGATTGATAATGACATTGTTTTCTGATCCTCCTATAATTGTTTTGTATTATTCAATATTGGATGAAGAAAGACTGAAAGAATCTTTTAAAAACTCTGCCATTTTTACGGCCGTTAGTAACTGAAATTTGACGGGTAAAATCAGCATCTCCAGTACATGTACACATGCCGTAAACGTTCACACTTCTCATTTTCTGTGGTAAGCAAGTAAATACAGGAAAGATATTCTACCTATTGAGTACAAAATTGATGTTAACAAATAGCTTACAAGTTACATTAAACATCATTTTTATGCTTTCTTAATCATAATTAAGGTCATATGTGTTGCCAAGGAATCTAATAATACATATACATTTATATATATTTTAAAAAAATATTTTTATCATATCATCGCATTTCAAAATTATCTTATCAGACTATATCTTTGTTAATTTATCATTAGGATGAAGATTTAATTAACTCCAATAATATTAAAAATTCTCATGTTACCACTAATCATATAATCTTAAAATAGAGTATTGAATTTAATTTCAATGATTAAAATTTAAATATCAACAATCTTAAGAATAAAATAATCCTCGTATTTTTTAAAATAAACTAATGCAAGGAATGGTGGTCCAAAAATCATGCTGCTATTTTGTATATGCCTGAATAAATGTTTATGTGCCCACACGGGATCATAAAAATTAGATCTTACAAACAAAAATTCATACTTTTTTCACAATTAAAATAGCAAAATATAAATTTGATTATCCAAAGTGGATACAAAAAGACTTCGTTACGGATAAAATCCATTTAATTTAAATTTTTTTCTTTATTATATTATTTTATGAGCTTTTCTCAGCAGCTTTTATAATAAAAAATTTTATTCGGTGGACCATTGGCCTCATCAAATATCTATATATGACCAACATAAATCATAAATTCGCTTTTTTATTTTGTTTATCAAATGTATAGTCTTGAAATATTGCTCGTTTCATACGACCTAAAATGAAAGAAAAATAATTCACTTTTGGTGAAATCGTGACTCATGGACTTTTAATCAACGGTGTCTTAACATATAAAAGTTCTAAGAGCAAAGAAAGTTACCTTATTTTTAAAGTTAAAATAAATCGTCAATCCATAAAAAAAATTTATGAATTTTTAAAAATTTTCAAACTTATAAATCATTTATCATCATAAGATTTTGGGGATTCAAACTTGGATGTTTTACATTCAAATTCTAAATTTTAATCATTTGCACCAATTTTTATTGATAATAGTGTCAGACAATGATAAATGATTTTAAAGGATCTCAGAAGATAAAAATGAAATAACCAGCTTTGTCCAATCTTCATCAAATTCTTCTGAATTTTCAAAAAGACCTTTTTCGAATTCCATTGCAATTAAAACATTAGTTATTCCTCTCTAAACCATTATGGTCACAGATGAACTTCAAAAGGAAATGCTAACTGGCTGCAGTTTAGTGTGTTATAAGAACATACCTAATTGGTAGACGAAAATATTGACAAAATCACATACCAACATGAAATAGTCTCACTGTTGTGTCGGTAACAGCAAGAGGAAAGAAGCACTGCATGGATCGGGAAATTGAGGGATCAATTGCGACCCTTTTTCACCGACAAATCTTGGTTTCATATGCCTCTCCCTCTCATAAATGATCTAAGGAGTAAGGCCAAGCTTTCTGGCTTTCTTTGTCACTCTTTTTTTTATTACTTGTATATTTAGGTTTCATTTGATTATGACTTTTTAGTCATAAATTTAATTTCCCTAAAAACCCATAGTTTGAAAAATTACAATTTACATAGAAAATCATAAAAAAATTGAAGATTTGAACTTGATTAAGGTTTTATACTATATATAACATATGTATATATATATATATATATATATATATATATATAAAACAAGGAACAAAGTTTGTATAGCATTTTAGTTTCATTTTTTTAATGCTACATATGGTAATTAAAGAAGTAATAAGCAAAAATTATTTTGTTTCACTTAGCTTTGATAATTTAATCATATATTGCATATATTAGACTATCTTATTGTTATATATATATATTTAAAGATAGTAAAATATGAGAGAAAATTTAAGAGGAAAGTACAATATTTTGACCTAATCTTTATTCCTTTATATAGCAAGTTTGAAAACATTTAGGAAAGTTTTCAATTCTCATCACATTTCATAACCCCTATTCATGTGCAAATATGGCATTGTGACTCATGTATAGTCATCATTAATCACCAACAGCCTTGTTATATATGATTCATAATCATTACCATTAATTTTCGCCTGCAATCATTTCATAAAGAAAAAGTGATCATAATAGTCATGAAGAAATTCATCACTTCAATTACATATATACATATATTATCATATCAAAAGTGCAGAACTGGGTAAAAATTGATGCTTGTGGCTGACAATTTGCTATTGCCGTGATCAGCTCTACTGTTGTTTTTTAAGGACACTGGTAAAACAAATCACTTCAACTTCTATTAAAAAATAGAAAATTATGGATAAAATCTAGTTACATTATATTATATTTTTATATAGCAAGTTGAATGGTGATGATAATGCAAAAAAAGTTATTATCATTTTGGCACATGATAGGTAAGGGCTGAATCTAACAATAATTGTGACTAAATGACATATCCATTCAAGAAAAATAATAGATATTTATTCATATTGTGACAAAACAGAATTGAGAGAACCAATTTTTTTCCAAAAAAACAAAAATCAATTCAATATAATTAATAAATGTTAAGCTATTGTTGAGATTACATGATTAATTTGTAAATTAAACCTTATTTTTGTTTCAAAGTTTGTTAATTATTCCCACAATTCAATTTTGAAACCTTACAATATTCAAATGTTTTACGTAAACAATCATTTAACTAGTTTTATATATATATATATATATAAATATAAAATCCAAAAATAAAAAAATATTGTCAATATTGAAATTTGAAGTTTAATTTTATTAGATGTTAGTTAATTATATTATACTGGTCATTACTGATAGGAAAAGTGAAACTCTTTTACCTTTAATGTTGGCTAGATATGCAGCTTATAATATATGTAGAGAGACATGATCAAGCACAGCTCACGGATAAAAGAAACACTTGCAAAAGAAGTTAAAAATGATATATTAAAAAACCTGTCTGAATTATTGCAGAAGAAGAAGAAATGCCTTAGTCGACACTTAAATTTTTTTCTTTATGGCAACTTTAAAGCTGCTTCCAACGGACAACTTGGACTAAAATAATAAGTTAGACAAAGATTATATGATACTCCATATAGAACGAAAATTGGTTCATCATAATTAGCTAGGGCTCACGGCCTACTTCTGTTTGTGTACGAAATCTTAGACTGCCTGAAATGCTACGGATAAAGATAAGGGTCGACTGTCCTTTAAGACACCATAATTTGCCCTTGTGAAGGACCCCATTTTAGAGGTAAAGTTTAAAGACACGTTACACCAAGAACAAGACAGGGAACACAGACGTACAAATGGGGGTCAAAGAGATCTTAATTCACTGTTCTTACATTAATTTTTCAAGTACTAAAACCAAACTTCAGGTCCCTCTTCCATACATAATTATACCCTTAATCCACCAGCTTTAGGCTGTTAGTAATCTATATACCAGCAAAGTTCTAAATTTATAATATGTACCAAAACTTGGAAGTCTATATATTTGGCAGAAAAGGGAAAGTTTTGTATATAATACCGACCCATTCCAAGACACAGTTAGGTGGCAGTGGGAGACGAGTCCTGTACAATGCGACTGCTAGTTAGTTTAGTTGGGTGTTTGGTAGGGGTGAAAAGATAAGATGACAGTGGTGATTGACATATTGGTCATTGACGCTTGTTACATTTGTGATCATTGCAGAGATCAAATCCCTCACTTTGTAAAATATTCAGTTATGATCATTGAGAGATCAGTTATATATGATCTCCAGTGGTCCTCTCAGCAGAACAGGAGACAAAGGACAAAACCTAAAGATGTCACCTGGACTGACAGAAGTAACAACTCTACGTATCTTAACTTTTAAGCTATACCCTGGAGAAGGTTATGTAGTCAAGGATGAACCCCCTCCTCGCGTCCGGATCAACTGCCAGCTGGACTAGTCAAAGACGAAAGTTTCTAGTAGATGGAAAACATACACAGGCTGCTAGACTAGTGGTTTGCCTTTTCCCCTCCAGGCTCCATCCCCCACCCACCTAATCCAGTTCTCAGCCATGAAAATTAGTAAAAGAAAAGGGAAAATCATTGCTCCATATTTACAAATTTGATACTAATATGGGAAAAAAAATGAAAGAACAAAAGCACCAGAATGAGTACCAACTTGACTGACCAGGCTTTGATTCGTGTGATACATAAAATCTAAGTTTGTTTCCAATGAATCCAATCTTGAAGAAAACGAGATTCAAGTAATCCCAGTCTTTACCATTTTGAAAATATTATCAGCAGCATATCAATATCAAGTCAAACTTATACTGGCTGTCATTGTTAGTCTGTCAGTGGTATTGCTCTATTTTTTCGAAATATGGCTCATTATCTCATTTTGAACCATGACATTCAACCATCTCTATAATATTATGGACGTGGTCCAAAGAAAAAACAATGAAAATGAGAAAAAAAAAAAAAGAAGACAATTTGTTCACATCAGAAGCACCTACTCTCTACTAAATTGAAAGGGAGATTAAGTCAGTTTGTGATGGGGGTTTGTTTTTGGGCTGCTGCTAGCTGTTCATACCTTCTCATTGAAAATGGCATTCAATTTCTATGATTTGGTAGATCCAAATTCCCCCAAGTGATGAGTACCAATTGATGCAGACAGGTCCATCCAAGACACTTCATGTTTTTATTACATTTTCCTCAGAAACCCTCAAAGGCTCAAATAAAAAAGTGAAGATGTAAATTTTCAATTTATATCAATGGGCAACCACACCACTTCCCTGGAAAACTTAATAAGTCCAATCAAATCTTTGTGTTTTAATTCGTAAGAGTTAATATTTTGAGTGACTTGCCTCAAATGAAGATTAATATGTTCTTATATGTATTTATTTATTATTATCTTATAAACTTCCATAACTGAAATTTCTACATACAAAGTGTATAATAAAACAAAGAATATAAATGCTTAAGTCTTAAAAAAACATTCAAGCCCGGCCCAAGCTAAACTTCCAAATTTTCTTCAGGATGGGCTATGCTCGGCCTAATGTTTTTATGTTATTAGGTTTCATGTCGAAGCCTGATGTGATGGCGGTCCGTTTTGCATTTACCAACCCGGTTCGGTTTTTCATATGTATAATCCAAGTTAGTTAACTGGATTCTGTCATTGCTCTTTATTTCATCACTAAAAAGTCTGAATCTCCAAAGATCTCTTTTTCTTTGCTTGACAAATTCAACAGCAACAATCAGACAGAAAGTCCAAAGCCACCAAAGTTTTCTTTCACAGTCCATACAGTTCAAAGTTGAAAAGACTTCCAACTTCCAATGTAAAGTCTCCTCCTTTTTCTTCATCAAGATACTTTTGTTTTTTTTTGGGTTTTTCGTTTTTTGGCTTAAATTTTTTTTTTAATCTTTATATCTATTTGTATCCCTGCTCAAAATTCTGGGTATTTCTGGGTTTGGCTTGTCATCAAGTTCTTCTTTGAATTGTGGTGATTTCTTTCTCTTTAGTGTATTGGGTTTTGTTTGCTTGTTCTTGTAACTGTCTTATTTGGATGGAAAACTATTATGTAAGGAGGAAATGGAAACTAAAGAAAGTGTAGTGAAGTTGTTGATATGCTGTTGGAACTATTCTGTCTGTCTGTTTTAGGAACTGATTAGGTGTGCATTGAGGTTGTCAGAGTCCAGAAGATTCTGAGAAAATTAATGATTGTTGCATTGCGTAATTTGGTCTATGTATTTGAAGGTGCAGAACCAATTAACATTGGAGCTTTATAGGGTGCATGAAAGTCCCTTTTCCCCTCTTTCTTTATTTCTATATCTCTTTGCTCTAGATGATCTTCCTTAACTGATATTAATCCCCGAAAAAGTTCCTTATAATGGTTGGTTAAAGGGAGAACGTTTTAGGTTTGTTTTGTACATCACCCTGATGATAATCAACTGGAAATTGTTTAATAGAGTAAGGTATTTGTTCCTCTGCCTTGTAAATTACTGATACCATTGGTTTTTCTCATATGAAGCCCATGGATTGTTCCTTATACAGAGACTTTTCCAATTTCTTCCCCTCAACGTGATCAATGATGGTAGTTTAGAAGGAAATGGTTACCCAACCCGAAGCAAATGGAAACCAATGGTAGCGATCATCACCCCCATGAAAATCACCTTTCAACAGGTTTAAATAATGATAACAAAGATCAATCCACTGAGAAGGAGGTTTTTGTTAATCATGGTAAGTTGTTGTTAAAGCCTTAAAGGCTATTGATTTCCTCCCGGAAAGCCTGTCATTCTGATGAAACCTGTCTTCCATGTGACTGTTGAATAGTAAAACTGCTTTTTGGAAGATCTTACTGGAATTGGAAGTAAGTAGTTTAGCTCTGAGCATACTCAAACTTCATAACTCAATGTGGTTTCCTGCACTTATTTTGCAAGAAGCCATTTTAAGTTTTAAATGGTGCTATCATACTGCTAGGTCGCCAGCTTGCATGCAATGTATCCATTTCAGGAGATTGAGAATCAAATGTTTATCAGAAGGTAGTTTTAGATGCTGGGCTAGGAAGTCAATGTTTTTTAATGAGTAAATATAGTTTAACTATGCCTTTTTCTAGTGGCTTTATCTGCATATGGACTTCAGTAGCAGAGGGTTTATTAACATATGGGATTGGGTGTGAAATGGCTATGATGTGGCTTACTATGGGAACTTATAGTTGTGGGAGTGTGTGAGGTTCCTTAATAAAGGGGTTGTACACTAAAATGCAATTTGTGGCTATGGATTTCTGGGTACTTTTCTTGCAAATTGTTGCTTTTATTGAACTCCAAATATGAGATTGTTGAAATCAATATTTTATTCTATTTTTTACAACCTTAATGTGAGTTTTTTGCTACTTCTTTGTTAAAAGCAATTTGAAATAAGATTGTGCATGTGGAAATAATGTGACAATCTTACTGTGCAGCTGAAATAACTTGGCTTGAGATTAGAAGACAGTGGGTTGGGGATCAGACTCAAAAATCAAAAAGAATGCCCCAGGAACCAATAATGAGGTATATGCCTGAAGTTTTTCCCCTGGTCTGCTAGAATCTTCCTAATCAAAATATTGAGTACCGTTGTTATTTATTTTCAACAAATTCTCAAAACCTAGCTTTTAAATGATTGAAACTATAAAAAAGACATTTGACTTTTTAAACCTTGGAATCTATATAGTGCATAATCCACTTTCTCATGCTGCTTTAAGTCAGCTTTTGGACATTCGCTTTCTCTCCTCTCATACTGCTTTGTTGGAATCTCTACTTAAAGTAATGATTACTATTAGTGACATTAACTGTTTCCCAATCACTCTTATTAAATACACCTTGTAAACTTTAAATTGTCCGATGGTCAAGTGAATTCTTGAAACCAAGCAAAAGACATCTTTTGATGCTTCTTTAAGCCACCTCTTGAACATGTCCCTTCCCCTTGTTAATGAACCAAATAGGGTGCATGAAGTTCATGTCTCTACTCAGAAACGCGTTACTAGTTGACATGCTTCTGATGTAATTAGGAAAGCAAAAAGGTAAAATTATATGATCCCAAATTCTTTCTGTTTCTCCCTCTTATGGTGCAGCTGTATAGTATCCTTTGTTTCTTGGGTTGCATTTTCACCTTCCATATTTTCCGCTTCCTGCAGTAAACCATGGATACATACAATATCTTAACTGTAAGGTTACCTGACATTATCACAAGCTTCTCAAGCCACATTACTTCCCTTCAATTTTTTATGTAGCAGGCTTGCTGTAGTTCATCTAATCGTTAGAATTAAATTAACATTGAGATTTTGATTAAAAGATCTTTTCTTTCTCTTCTAATAGTTGAGGGTGTCTCATTTCAGCAGAAACCATCAAGATGCTTCCGGGAATATAAACATACACCTGCAAATGTAGGTGTTTAGACTTTTAGTTCCTTTCATTACTTAACCTTGGAATCTCCTTTTGCAGCTGGACCTCAACTTATTATGATTTGCTTTGTTCGACTGAACTTTTTCAACAGCCAATTCCATTAGCTGTAAGTCTTATGGAACATCTTCTGTCAACTTTCAATTTGGGCTAACATCGATGTCATTTGTCTGGTGAAAAATGCAGGAGATGGTGGATTTTTTAGTTGACATCTGGCACGAAGAAGGCCTCTATGACTAGAAACTTGGGAAATATATTGTGGCAGTTGAACAGTTTTTGGTGCAGATTGACCAAGATGAAGCAAAACTCATAGGTTATACAGATTTTCACTGTCAAAATTGATTGAATGACTCTTATTCTTGATTAGATAAACAAGAATCGTTAAAATCAATCTGGTGTAGAGTTCAATGAAACTGAGGGGATTTTAGTTCATGTATTTGTCTAATCTTTAGTTCAATTAAAGATCTTTTTCTTTTGGTTTGATAAAATTTTTTGCTGACTTTAGTGGGGGATCAAATGTGTTGCCATCTTGATAAAGAAATGGCCAAGGAAAGATTCTACTTGGATTTGAGTGGTGTGTGAAATGTGTATAACCATTTTTGCAGTGTCATCAAATCATCATGCTAACAGGTTGCAGAAAAAAAGGGTTTTATTTAATTGCTGTTTTTGCTATTTTCCCTTTGATTTCATATCCTGTATTTTGCTTGCATGCACCAAGCAAGACTTACCATATGCCGGCATTGGCGTTAGCTGATAGATTGTAAAACAAGGTTATTTGTTGGGCCTTGCTCTACTTGCATTCCTCACTCAACACAGCATAACTGTGAATATTACGACTTAATTCTTTAGAAAGAGAAAATAGTTTTCTTTGTTTGAGTTTAAAGTTTAAACTCACAACTTGATATTTACTATTAGTAGTACTATTAAGAGTATTTTTAAATTTTTGTTTCGGGTTTAAATTTTGTTAATAATTTTAAATATATATTTTCTCATATTAATTTGATTATTTAAAATTTTATTCTAAAAAATCTTCCCACGCAAATGAAATTATCGTTGACAAGAAAAAGAACTTTTGTCAAACTGCACTAATCTCTTTGTAAATATAAGGCCCTCTTTGATAGGCATACAAATTTTCTTTTAAAAAATACTTGTTTAACGAGAAGAAGAAAAAGACAAAGAAAAAGAAAAAACGTTAAAAAAATATGGTAGGAATTTGGGAGACTGCGCAAATATCTGAGGCCAAACAGAAAATGGGATACTCGGGAGAAAGCGGCAAGATGGGGCTGGAAGGCACTGGCTTGGATCTGCCACCGAATAAGCACGGAAACTTGAAGAGTGCTTCCAGCGATGAAAATCTCAAGGACATTCTTCTACATGTCAAGTCCTCTAAAACTCCTGTAAACACCCTTTTCTTTTATTTTATTTTTTTAACTTATCTATTTTGATGGGATTCGTAAATTTCCATAAAATTGAAAACTTCCACTTTAAATGCTTAACAAAACTGACTTTCTTACACTTTTGGATGAATTTGTAGACAGTTATCAACTACGGAGCCTCACAGTAAGTCAATTTTCATAAGCGGGTTTCCTCATCATCATGCACTCAAGCTATTTTATGTAAAGTTTCTATGATAGAGTGGAAAATTGATTTGGAAAAGCATGCAAAATTTGGAAATGGGTAGTTATAAAACGGGCCTGGAATTGAAAAATGAAGGGTACAATTGATTATGGATGGCTAACTTCATTAACTTAGCTGATTATCTTGGTAGTTCTGTTGAAGTTCTTCAATTTATCCTCCGTTTTCAGTTGTTTATGAATCCTGGGTGCGGTTGTATTTAGTAATTTTGAAGTTGTTTTTCCTTTTTCAGGTGCCGTGTTTGTAGCCAGATTCTTCCAGCATTTTGCCGGTTGAGCAACCAGTTCCCGAAGCTTTCTTTCGTGTATGCTGATATTGATGAATGCCCAGAAACCACGCAGCAAATTCGTTACACTCCTACATTTCATTTTTATCGAGATGGTGAAAGGGTGGATGAGATGTTCGGTGCCGGAGAAGAGCGGCTTCATGATCGCTTGTGGTTACATTCCTGAAGAATGATGTTACTAGCATCAAATTTTGGAAAACAATGCTTTCCTGTAAATCTCCTTTGTCAGAATATGCGAACCTGCTGTTCTTGAGCGTCCTAGTTATTGAACTTCACTTGACTGTGGTTGCTTTCTACCGAGTACTGTTCATTTTCTATTGATATTCTAGTGCATATCTGACCTTTCAAAACGTGTGTTTATGCATATCCATGTATATGTATACATAGTAATGTACAGTAATGTATGTATGTATGTATAATATACATATACACATATACATGTATTAGATGTGTATCCACCTCCCAACACTTGAACTAGAGTTCAAGCAAATATCAATATCTGTCATTGCACCTAACAAAATTTGGGAATACAAGACAATACGAATCATCCATCAACCAGCAGCTGAAGCATACTAGTGCAAATGGTAATACTTCAATTGCTCAACAATAAATGAATAAAAGAAAAAGTTAAATTGAATAATAGACGATAAAATCCCTGACAACCAACATGGATGGTTGCAGCAACAAATTGTGCACTGAAAAGGAAATAGAAAGTAACGAACGAAAAATGAAACAAATGGACAGATGCCGCAAATACCTTAATTTGAAAGCACACATCTTGAATCCCGCCTTTGACCTGAGCCTCTTCAGGAGCAATCCAATGAATGTATGCATCCGATGTTTCTTTATTCTTCCTCTGTATACCAGAATCATGGCTATGATAGTAACTATTTGCTGAAAATTTAGGTAGCCAAACCAACTCAGGCCTTTGGTTTAAGAGGCTTAACAATCTCCCAAGTGAAATCAGGGTCATCACGGCCAAAATGACCATAAGCAGCAGTCTTTTGGTACCTAAACTTACCTCCTCTCTTCAAGTCAAGATTGATAGAGATCATTCCTGGCCTGAAGTCAAAATTCTCCTTAATTAATTCCAAAATATCCTTGTCCGGGATCTTGCCTGTCTTGTATGTGTCTACAAAAACTGACAATGGTTCTGGCACACCAATTGCATAGGATACTTGCACAATACAGCGACGTGCAAGCCCTGAGGCTACCACACTCTTTGCTGCTTGCCTAACAATGTATGCACCACTGCGGTCCACCTTAGTTGGATCCTTCCCTGAGAATGCACCTCCACCATGAGCACCCCAGCCACCATAGGTATCAATGATAATCTTTCGGCCTGTGAGTCCTGCATCTCCATGAGGTCCACCAATAACAAACCTACCGGATGGGTTGAGGTGGAAAATGGTATTGTCATCAAGATACTTTGCTGGAATAACAGGCTTAATGACATGCTCTTTCAAGTCCGCTGCAATCTGCTCATTGGTGACAGTCTCATCATGTTGGGTTGAAATGAGAACGGTGTGAACACGAATAGGGATCATGGCTCCGCCATCATTGCGATACTCAACAGTCACTTGGGTCTTACCATCAGGCCTCAACCATGCACATGTCTTGTTCTTTCTCACTTCAGTGAGCTTGGCACCAACCTTAGTTGCAAGCACATGGGTTAGAGGCATTAACTCAGGGGTTTCATCTGAGGCATAACCGAACATGTGACCCTGGTCACCAGCCCCAATTTCCTCAGGTTTCTTGGTGAGGTGGCCATGAACTCCTTGAGCAATATCAGGGCTCTGTTGCTCAATGTTAACTAGAACTTTGCAGTTGTCAGCATCAAGGCCAACATCAGGTGATGTGAACCCTATACCTCTACAAGTATCACGAACAATTTTCTCATAGTTAACTTTGGCCTTAGTCGTGATCTCACCGAAGACCATAACCATGTTAGTCTTGGTGCAAGTCTCACAAGCAACTTTGCTCTCTGGGTCTTGTTCTAGGCAGGCATCAAGGATAGCATCTGAAACCTGGTCACACAGCTTGTCAGGATGGCCTTCATTAACAGATTCAGAAGTGAATAGGAAGGTATCCATATCTGCACATCATAACGCAAATCCGATAAACAAAAAACAGATACAACGAATTTAAATATAAATAAAAAGACTGACAATAACAATTCTAAAGAACAAATTCTGATTAAATTCAGAGAAAAGAGAGGGGGGAATTGAGGCTACCCTTGTTGAGATCTGAAAGAAGAGATAATGAGTGTGAAACGATAAGAGGCAGCGAGAAGAGGAATTGAATTATAGGGAATATGGGGTTTATTTATAGAGCCGAATGACGAGTCGTTTGACTCGCTCTTACTCTCGATTCCCCGCTCTTTTCGGTGCTTGGTTCTTCCTCTGCTTTCCCCGGGCTTTTATGGCCAGAGAAAATGTTATCTCCTGCTTCTCTTCACATTTTTTTTGCAACAATCTAGACCGATGGAATTATGTCCAATCTGTTTGAGGAAAATGGAGGGTTGAGATGAGATGCAGAGGTTACGGGAGTGAACAGAAGGAGAAGGATGGGACCCAATACCTTATCTTTTGGGTTGGTAAGAAAATGGGTCTCACCCGCAGCGACATTACGGGGCTCCATTCTTTTCCGTTTCAGATGCGATCTTGCTATTTTTGTTAACTGGCCTTTCACATGGGTTGGCCCACTTCTTTATCTTTTTTACTATTTTTATTCACTTTTTATTTTTTTTCACAATTTCTGGAGTTTGAGCTCTTAATTATGATTCTTCCATTGAAAAGCTGCCTCAGAATCCACTTTGCATTTTGGGTTTGGGCCTTGACTTTGCTTATGATTTTTGTGCCATCTTCCCGCGCATCTTGATGTTGGTATCAATGGGAATATCGTACCAACATACCAGAAATTGAGGAAAGAATGTATTGTGTGTGTATATATATATTTAAGCAGACGAAATTTCTAAGTGCTGGGGAAAAACAAAGGTAGAGCTGTGATCAGTAACCAAGGCCAAGTTGAAGTCCAAGTGCTGCAGCATGGACAAGAAACAGAGAGTTATGATCTCACTGCCTAAAATTCCATGCACATTCCTCAATCTAGGATTTGTGCATAAATCAAAGATTCCAAGTTTAGGCAATTTAAGAATTTATTGATTTCCGAAGACCCCAAACTGCAACATGTCCCAAATTCCTAACTCACTGAATCTTTACAGCTCTTAAGTCAATGCTAACATGGACAATTTTGGTGACAAGATTCTACCCTAAGTTCCTAGGAACAGAATTCAAAGTTCTCAATGTTTACAAGAACCAGATACACATCGGTTGCTACAAATCATTTGTACAATGTAGCACCAGATTTTGAGAAAACTACTGCTTCAATGCCTTCAATTGTAAGTCATGGATTTCTTGATGCAACAACACATCCTTTGATAAGTATTACCTTTCACAATCAAAAGTTCATGAGAGTTGGCCTGTAATTCGAGGGGATATCACAAGGAAAATGTTGAAGTCCTTATTTTGTGTGACGCAAACAGCAACAGCCAATCTCAATTCCGATTCTCATGGTCATGCATGGCACAAGCCACCTTCCTCAATGCAGGCAGTGAGCTTCTCTATTCCAGCTGACATCACTGGATGCCAAACCAATCTGCTACATTACTCTGAACAACAATCTGCAACTGCAAGTATAAATTAACAATGAATTCCACTAGCTTTTGGTTTTTGGTAGATGATATCCGCTAGCTAGTTCAAGAGAAAGAAACCTCAGTATCAGATTTAAACTGCTCTAGTAGTGCATTTTAACTAGTGATATTGACTATAAGCCAACACATGTCTCGCATGCAAAAGTCTTTTATCAATGGTGAATGACAAATTTTCTATCATCTGCTGTTTTAAAACTGTCGATAAGAGCCATGTCTACACCTCAATAAACGGCAGGCGTAAAATTTTCACTCAAATATCAGGCACAAAAGAGTCATGTTGGGACCATGAGAGTTTAGGCCCACATCAGTTTATAAATACCATGCAGCCAGAAATGCTGGTTAATTATTTAAGGTTATTATCAAGTACCAAATACAATATGTTACCATCAAATTTGAGATTTTGCATTGATTACTGCTAAGCAACCAGTAATAAAAATGCATTTACCTTATTGTTATGAACTATATAAAAAATCTCCTATCCATCCAAAATTCCGTCAACTCGGAAAATGTTGTTACATATTCCACCCATGGTAGTTGACTCTCTCTGAGGATCTATCTTCCATTGACCATCAACAATAAATTTTATCTGCAATTAAACAAAATTATAATCTTCTATTTAAACCCAAATGAAAAGAATAGTGTTCAATTTTGTTTTATACTTAGTCTTGAACTGCATGCTGTTCAGTTTGGTTTCCACTTCTGAAAGCTAAATAGGTTGGGTTTGGTTTCAAAAGTTCTAAAAATCCTATTTTGTGTCGCAACAAGCATCTATTGTTCATTTGATATCATTATGAGCTACAAAATATAACTTTTAGGATATCTCTAGGAACCTAATCAGCATAACTTGAGCTGGTGGCCCTATGGATATCACTGCTTCTGGAGTGAAGTAAAGCGAAAAAGCAAACGGTTTCAATATATGACAGTAAATGTCTAGATGTAAAAACATTAATATGTCCGTTGCAAATGTAGCCAAAACTAGACTAATTAATTAAATTCAGATATCAAGATAAAGTTAGTATGTTATTTGTAGAAGAAGTTTGCACCTCGTATATCCCAGGATAAAGCCACAGCACTGTTGACCAAATTTTGGACTTGCTGGTAAGTGTGTAAACATGGTAAGCTCATTTTTTCTTGTAACAGTTATAAGCAGAAGTATAAAAATCTAGAGAAAAAAGATAGCAAGTAGAATCTACAAAAGAATGAGATATGCTGCTAAAAGTCCAAAAGAAACGTCATTTTCTAGTAATAATAACAGAAAATATTGTGCAATTCAGATGACATATAAGTGATGTGCTAATTCATTTTAACATGCCAGAAACAAGCTTGAAGAATGTGTACCATAGGAGTGCAACTAAAAGGAGACATTTTTGTCAGAAAGACAGCTAAACTAAATCCAGGCCATGTAATGTCTCTAACTTTGCAACTAAGTGGGTGTCTGGGGTGTTTATTCATTTTGACAAAGCATCTAGGCAAGTACAACAGTAAGCACGAACTCAACCTTGGGAAACTCATGCAAACACTTTGTCTACCAGATGATTTTCTTATATATTTCAAACTTAGCATAATGATTGAGAAGTAAAAGAGCCACTCTAAGCTTGATATAATAGATACAAAAGTTGGAAGGAATAAAATAGCCTTGAACTAAGCTCCACATCAAGCTACGGCATTGCCTACCTCTACATGGTTTCTTCAATATGCTGATTGTTAAAATTTTCAAACCACCTCCTTATTAATGCAGATCCTATAAAGATACTCTGGTGGAACAGTGTTAATTTTCTAGTCCTACTATAATGTTTCAATTTATAAAGGGTACAATGGGATATTAGTAAAAACCACCTTACTGGTGAAAGCTGAGTAACTTAAGATAATATTAACTAAATGTGATGACCTAGAAGATATAATTTAATCTAAAGATTAATACTTGAACATAAAGTTATTTGACAAAACAGAATATTTAACACCTTGAGTTAATGGGGTTTGTGATGGTAGAACATGGCTTAGGATCCATTTTAATCCGATGATGCCAACCATTGAAGCTACCAGCTACCTCCACAATTTCACCATCCCCTGAGTATTCAATTTGGACCTAGTATAGCAGTCCAAAATTTAGTCATTTGGTTTGATATTTATTTATTTGTTGTGAAGAAACTACAATAAAATTGAACAGGGAAATGCTGGGAGAAATTGACCGCAAAAAGAAAACATAATCTCTCTCTGAATTATTATAATAGGATCAATTTACCATTCTAATTAAAGATATACTGACAAAAAAAAAAAGGGGAAATAGAAAGAAGAAGCCCTCTTTCAAATATACCAAAGCCAAGCAAAAGTGACAGATGAATACCTCCTCTAGTCCTGAGAGGTTTTTCTCAGCTGCATGCAATTCAGCATCTTTCTCAGAGACAAGTTTTTGAGCTTTGTGGATCTCTGTTTCAGCCTTGATTTGCAGGGCAGACAAAGCATTCTGGGGAAAAGAGTGACAACCAAAATGCCTAAGGTTTACTAATGAGAACCCTCAAGAAATGCACAGCATTTTAATCTGTGCTTGTCCAACTTTTAAATTCTTAGTCTAATGTCTTGATATAGTATACGGACACGGAAGTTAAAATCAAGCTCCAACAATGCTCTCTGATATATGAGTGATAATGTAAGAACCACACAAATGCTTTACTAGGAAACATGCCTTTGAAAATAACTGATGTACCTCTTCCTTTTCAATCTGCTCCTTCAAACGGGACAGTTCTAATTCCTTCTGGTAAAGAGAAACAACAAGATGCTTTGCAGTTAGTTTATGTAACAAAACTTTACATACAGACAAAATCATAAGACCAGTGAGTAGCGAGAGACAGAAGACGTTAAAATTATATACCAGCATAAACTTAAGATGATTAATCTCAATTTCATTGTCCCTTCCAGTGGTCTGCAACACAGAGGAACATGCACTAAGAGATTATATGTCAAAATAAACACTGAATTTAAACCGAATTAGAACAACAGGATACGTGAAACAACCTCAGAATTCAAATCCTCCCTCAAATCATCACCTTTTAGCATTTGAGCTTCCATAATATCATGACTGCAAATAAATTAAATACTAGAAGACTTAAGCCTTAGTTAATAGACCAAAACAAAAGGGTTAAAGCAGTGCAATTATATGGATTTACTCCAGTTGAATGAGGTGCAATATGAAAATTTATCATCCATGTCTTCCTATTTTATAACAGTAAGTTTAATGCCACTACATCTCTTGCCACTAACGAAGTAGCACAGAAAAATATTCTAACTAATCGCAGACTTTAAGCAAAAAGTAATTAGAAGTGTAGATCTAGTACTTTAAACCAATCTACAATATGCTAACCTCCAAGAAAGGTGATTCACAGCCACAGGAGGAGCAACCTGCTTGGCAACTTTTGTACTTCCATTCAATGTGATGGCAGCACCATAGGCATGTTCTGAGCATTCTTGACTATTGTTCCTAGATTGAGTTGCTACGTCATTACTAGTTCCAACAACTTCCTTTCTTTCTTCATCACTACTTTCATTTAGCATTCCATAAACATTATCTGCACATCAAGCAGCAGCAGAAGCTTAACTTCATGTTTCAACACCACCAAATAAATAAAAGGGCAATCTTGTAAATTTAGAAACAGGCACCAGGGAAATTCTTCGAGTTTTGGCTTTAGAAAATAGGCATAAGAAATTATCATTCTTTCCGATAATAGCATAAGAACTAACAGCACACTAAAAACAACAGAAGCCGGACACTTCAACTATATTAACTGGAGCAATTTGTGTTACATATGTTCAAACCAAAAGTAAAATTCATCCTTACTACATGTAAGATGTAACACAACAATGACCAATGAAACAAACTAAAAAAACAGTGTATCTACTGAAACTTACACTCAATTGCATCCAAATCTCTGTTCTGAACAAGTTTTGAAACTTTTTCCTCTAAGGTTGACATAGGTGGAGATTCTTCAGGCATGAAACTATTGTCATCAGAATTAAGATCTGGATTAGCATTCAAACTCCCAGAATAATTTTCTTCAACTGAGAGAAAGGTTGATGGGGAAACATCTTCAACCATAGCATCTTCCTTTTTCTTTTGATCCCCTGAAGTGTGCATAGTATTCTCCTTCATGCAATTATGGTCAATGGAATCAACACCCACTCCAATTAAATTATTCTCAGCGCAGGCAACTTCGGTTAGCAAGGAAGCATCTAGGATAGCATTCTTCACCTTTTGAATCTGACCTTTAAAATAATAGCAATAGTTTATCAACAACATTCAAACTTTAATTAGAATGAGAGGGTTCATGCACGGGTAAAGAAATTTATTTTGACCTTCAAAAGTATCTGCAGAATCACTAGTTGCATCGTGCTTTTCAATTACATTTTTCTCCAAATTAAATCCATCATTGTCTGTTTCAGGTGAGCTCATAAGAAGCTTTTTGATAAGTTTGTATCCTCTCCGTCTAACAATGTTAGCCAGATCACTCCTACAAAACAGTTAGGCAAGAAAAAAAATAAGCACATCAATAAGGGGCAATTTTAAAAACTGAAGAGTTTTCCTCCACCATCCCTTTTCTCTCATTTGCCATTAGACAAAATTTACATCAAAATAAATCACATTGAAAAAAAGAATAACCTAATACCTAGATAGTGTATTCCTCCTTTTTTTTTTTTGTTCAAGGTATTCCTCCCTTTTAATCATTAGTAGTTTAGAAACACAAATATCTCCAAAATCAGAACTTGGTTTCAATCAAGGCCAAAAGGATAAACTTTTCTTCCAATGCAACAATTTCAATAACAATTCAAATAACCCATTTTCAAGTGAAACAAAAAATTAACCAGAAAAGGATCAAAAAGTATGAATTAACTGTTTAAGTACCTTCCATGCTGAGAAAGTTCCTTCACGGAGGGAACATGAACCTCCGGAAGCCCAACCGCTGCTACAAATTCCCTTATGTCATTACACAGTTCCTCATTGCTCTTTACCTTTCTATCCCTCCTGAAATATGAACAAATAACAAAACCAATGAGATGAAATGACAAAAAAAGAATTGAACCATTAATAAAAGTAAGAACTTTGTATAAAGTATAAATTAACCTGGGTCTTTTAATGGAAAAAGCACATATTTTTAAGTTTCTTCTAGGTGGGTATTCATGGGTTTTCCAGCTTAGCCATTGCCGTGGCTTTGGTGAGAAGAGGGGTTTATGAGAAGAAAGGGATTGAAAAGTTGGAAAGTGAGACAAGGTTGCCATTATGGGTATACCTTGTTGCAGCATTGAAGATTCAAACAAGGTTGTTTGATCTATACTTATGATTTCATTCCTCACTCTGTTCAGACTTTGTTGAAAATAAGGTGGCGGTGTCAATATTCTAATTATGATTGAAACGAAATCTCAGTTAACGTTATCCTAAGATTTTTTGGGTTTTTTCTTCTAGAAAAAACGCAATTGAGAATTAGGCCCATCCAACGCATCATCATTTGGAAGGCTCAAAATGAAGTAACGTTGGGTCTTCATCGTCAATAGCCCATTAAGTTGCTGTGATTTTCACCCATTGTTATCCTCTCCATATGCTCCAAATCAAAAGAATGTTATTAAGCCACTGCACTTCTGTTGATGGAGCCACTCTGCTAATATATCAGTCCAGTGGCCATGAAAGCTGATGCATGCAGCAATGAAACTATGAATAGGCAAAGAAATGTGCATGAATTGTTAATACAAAGCCTTGATTAAAGTGGATTTAATCCTAATCAAATTGAAAACACCCCTTTGTCCTTTGTTCTCAAAAGAAAATAAAACCACCCCAATTGCAGTAGCGTCAGGGTGGGCAAAACTCTAGTAACCTACGGTCGTTTTGCCATCCATCGGTAGATATTCTGGCCATTACCTTGACCAAAAGTTCTTGCGAATTTATTGATAGTTTGAAACCTGCAATTTTGTTAATAGAATCAGTTGAACTTTGAGAATATGCTTTTCACATTGGAAAGGATATATAATATATATATATATATATATATATAGAAACTTAAAAAAAGGAAACCCATTAATTGGCTTGCTTCATGAAAATGATCATTTTCTTCTGGAAAAACATACGTTTGAAAAAAATTTGACATTTCAATTTCGTTGTTATTGTTGTAAACCAGGTTGGAAAGGAAGATCAACTAATTGCTGATCTTAGCAAAGAAATTGTGCTTATAAAGTCATTGAAATGAATTTATTAAGGAGAAAATGAAGCTTCAAACTCAAGAGACAGTGGTCAAAACTTTTTGTATGAACGAGAGAGGGTAACGACAGCATAGCACCGAACACATTTTCAATAACTTATATGAAAGATTGTTGAAAAATAAACCTTGAAATTTTTTGCCAATAATTTATCAATATATTGTATTAAAAAAACCCATGTTATAATTAATCTTTTCGCTCCAAAATTCATATGGTTGGACCACAAATTAATCAACTTTATTAGCAGTTTCCATATGGAAATCAATCAAGGTCATTGTTTTTGTTTTATTTGAGGAATATTTAAAGCAGATGGGGCCATGTTTGAGTTAAAAATCTTGTTGATAAGTCTTTGCCCAATGTTTAGCTTTGCTCCATCAGAAAAGATACAGTGATTTGAAATGACAATAATGCATTGTATAGAGTCTAAAATGCAGGTTACTTGTTAAACTACATTGACACATAGTTTTAAGTGTCATAATCAAAAGAAAGAATAGAAGGTTTGAATAAACTATGACTGCTCTGTTGATATGTTTGAATGTGAAAGAAAATAAGTGTTATTACCCTCCCTAGTTGTTAACCATAAACTGCACCGCATTGGTCATGAATTGTAGTGAGCATACAAAACCAGCTTGAATTTTTGATGTAATAAGAAACCAAAATTATTGCTTTTCCCTTGAAAATAAATCATATGTTATGATAATTCAATTATGTGTAATATTTTAGTAATAAATGTGTTACCATCTTTTAATATGTTATGATGGAAAAATGTTTGATTGACCAATGTTATACCACCTTTTAAGAGTTTATTTACATGGATGATCATATTAGTTTTGAAATTAAAAGAAAAAAAAAGTTATTGAAAGAAAAAAATTTTATAAAAAATTTTATATTGAATGAATCTAATAAAAATTACATTTAAATTTAATTAATGATATGATAAACTCAATTACATCACACTAAAAATGCGATAAAATCTAAACTCCACTAATTCTGATATGTTCAATCATATAGTTAAAAAATAACAATAGTACATCAACCACAGCACATGGAAATCAAATTAAGGGTTTAGTGTTAAAATGTTTTACTTGAAATTTGTGAAGTTTGGCCCAAGAGATTGAAAATTTTTGGTTGCTTTGGAAATTATTGCCCATTTCAGTTACTTTTTGTGGCCATAAAGTTAAGTTTAGAACGGTCCAACAGTAGGATATTTTAATTTGTATTTGACCTAATTAATCCATACAAGAACTATCCTTCCCATCTCTTCTTTAATCCTTTGAATATTTATTAGTATATTTTAATTTTTATTATTTTAATATTATTATTATTATTATTATTATTATTATTATTATATGCACACCAAGGCACAATCATATAGAACTTTTACCAAAAAATTTACATGTCAAGACATGATAATTAAAAATACTTATATTTATGTATGATATTTTCACCAAACGCGATTTTAATATTTGATTTTGTACAATTTTTTTTTATTATGTAAACCATATTTGATGATTAATTTTATGTATATAAAACATATACACTATAATATATATATAATGGTATGTATTTTATTTATAGAGAGGTCCAATCTCATTAACTACAATATATTTAATTTAGTCTATGAATTTGAAAGGTCGCATGCACAGAAACATTGAAAATCATGTAATGGATGAATATTAATATGGGTGTCCACATTGACAAATGATAATGGCAGCCTAAGACTAGGCCTTAGAATATTTTTAAAAAATACAATATTTTAACTATAGGCTATCATTTTCAATGAAAATTGTATCTCATTAATTAAGCATACCTTGGAATGGATTCTTTGAGAGAGGAAAGAGACCAAGTTAAAGCTTAGTTATTTAATCCTGTGAGGAAGAACAGGAGTTATAGAAAATGGATGATTGAAATTAGAAGGCCTGTTTTTTGACTTCTGTTTTTGTATCTCTCTATATATTAATATCTTTCTCAGTGCCCCAAACCAAGTGAAGTCTTGTTTTGGGACAAAGGTAGGCAGCAGCTGGGACTCACAACCATCACCATTCACCACCGTAATTTTGAAGAAAGTCCCTTGGTGTTGGTAGTAAAAGAAGCTCTTGTTTTCAATACCCAAAGATGGGAAGGGCTCCTTGCTGTGACAAGGCTAATGTGAAGAAAGGACCCTGGTCGCCTGAAGAAGATGCAAAGCTGAAAGAGTACATAGAGAAACATGGAACTGGAGGAAACTGGATTGCTCTCCCACAAAAAGCCGGTAACAATTCTTTTTCTTTCCTGCTTTTTACTTCTTGGTCAGTTTGAAAGAAGATGGTAACTGAAACTGATCATATATCAACATGTCAATTAAAGGGTCCTTTCAGTGGTTCTTGTTTGTGATCTTGAAAGCGTTTGGTTTATATTTAGGTCTTAGAAGATGTGGGAAAAGTTGCAGATTAAGATGGCTTAACTATCTCAGGCCTAACATTAAACATGGAGAATTCTCTGATGATGAAGATAGGGTAATCTGCGCTCTATTTGCAAGCATTGGTAGCAGGTACTAATCACCCTGTCTCTTCCAAATAAATGTTTATTTGTCATATCATTTGTTTAAAAAACTTGATCTGGGTCTCCATAATTTTTTTTGCTCAGTATCTTCTCTGAAGATTTTTATTTCCTGGGAAATTAACCAAGCATGGAAAGACTTCCTTTCCTTTTGCCCTTTCAGGAAAAAACTTGCATATTTCAAGAATATGCTAATTTTAGATTTTTTTCTGATTCTGTCCTTGCATGCCGGATTTAGTTTCTCAAGTGTTGAGATAGAGTTTAAAAAACAACTCACTTAAATTTCAACTAATGGAAATGAACTACAGGTGGTCAATTATAGCAACACATTTGCCAGGCAGGACTGATAATGATATCAAGAACTACTGGAACACAAGGCTCAAGAAGAAACTTTTTGGCACGGTTCCCCAATCTCAAAGGATACCTCATCACATTCACCATGCTAGCTTCTCATCTCTTCTTCAATCATCTTCACCTTCATCCCCATCACCTTCGTCAACAATACTCCACAATTGCAGGAACAACACCTCTCACCCAACAGCTAGATCTTTTTCAGGCTTTGAGGTGTCATATTCCTCAAGTTTTTCAAACAGCAGTGCTTCTTGTATAACTGCTGCATCAGTTCTTCAACCCCAGGAGAGTTTATTGGGTCCCATGCAGCAGTATCAGCTGAAGGATGGTCTCCAAATGTTTGGAGGTGAAGCTAGTAGTAGTTCTTCTGATGGGAGTTGCAGCAACCAAATCAACCAAGGCAAAGAGTTAGAGCATGAATATGGTGGTGCCCCAGGTAGCAATGGTGCAAATAACGGTGATCAACAAATTGGCATGCATAGTTATTTCTACAATGAAGCTAATGAAAGCCAGAAGCTCATGGCATCAAACGGAGGTGGGGCTGATGGATGGTCTGAGAAGTCATCCAATGGATTGTTTGGTGAAACACCATTAGATTATGGGCTTGAAGAAATTAAGCAGCTAATTAGTACTAGTAGTTGTAACAGCTTTATTTTTTATGAAAGCAAGGCAGGGGAAAAAGTTATGTACTATTGACCTGACTATGACTGTGTGTAAAATCAGATGGATTTGAACTCTTAAGGGTGAAGGGTGGGAAAGGGCTAAAGACTTTCAGATTAAGACTGATCTATGTGAGGAGGATGTAGATTTCTGATGGAAACAGTTTTTTTACAGTACATGGTAAAAAAGCTTCCTTGGTGCATTATGTAATTTGCTAGTACCCATAGTTTAACTGCAATATTCAGAATAATTCATTAGATCATTTTCAAGCACCAAACTTGAAAACTAAGCATACAACTTCTTTAATCTAATTTTTAATCAACTTCCCATTTCTAAGATGTTTTTTGTGTCTTCTTTTAAATGAATTTTCATTTATTAACTTTAAATCTAGTCAAGCCCAAGGTGAAGGGCTTTGGATTTTTGTGGATATATTAAAAATGACTTATGTTAATTTTATATACTAAGCACAATAAATTAATATTCTATGAAATGTAGGCACATTAAACCAAATTGATATATTACATACCATTATATTAAAAGGCTAATGGCCAATGTTGATTAGTGCATCATTTTGAGCATACAATGATTGAAGAGTAAAACACATTAATTTAAACATTTTTTTTAAAAAAAAGTTGGTTTCAAATCTATAACAGATGAATTTATTTCATCACATTTATCATTTTCTAGTGAGCAAACAAAATGTTGAAATTTTTTTAGTTTTAATTTGGTTGACAATTAGCATCATGACACATGTGAGGAAGGCTTCAATTATTGATTATCCAATTGATTAGGATTGGTGCGGTATGGAGAGACAAAAAGCTTTGAATAGAAAATGAGGGGAAATGATAAACAAATCCAACTAGCTGTAGGGAAACAGGAATATGACTAAACAAAGGAAAAATTCAAGGTCATAACAAAAGTGGTAGAGAATCCTCGTGGAGAAGCAACTCAAAGTGCTTCAAAATCATATGATCTCATGATAATGATGCCCTAGGGTTTATCAATTGTATTGGCCAATGGGTTTGGCTGTTTTTGTTTAAATCAAATAGAGTGGATATCGAATCGGAAACTTAATTTAGTTTATTCATAAATAAAAAGTGACATTTAAAAAATTTAAAATTTAAATTCAATATTTGTAATTATTTTTTTATGTCGTGATTTTTTTATAAAAAAAAAAGATATTATTGATCAAAAAATAATCTATTAACATTGTCATCATTTTGTTTTCTTATTCTTCAGTAATGGGTTTTTCCAACTATAAGCATTTTTTATTTTAAGATAAAAAATCAAACGAGTTTTTAAAGATGAAAAAAGAAATTTTAGAATATTTATTTTTAATTGTGTGTAAAAAAAGTCAAAATGTGTGATATCTTTTTATCTATGAACTTTTAGTTTAACTGATTCATATAATTATTTTAAGAAGTGATATCTAACGTATTTATTTAAATTTTAATACTTGTAATTTTTTATCTTATTTACATATTAAAGTCTATTTTGTAATAAAAAAATATTAAAAAACCCATCATTTTGTATCTAAAAATGTCCATATTTGTTAAAAACTAGTGTTAGTAGAGTCTTAAGTATGCAAATATAAGCTCTAACTTTTTTGCATGAGCCATATGAACCCACACACAGAAAAAGAAAAGCTAAATCAAAGCTTGATCCTTTCATAAAAAGTTGACAACCCAAAGTTTATAAGTATATATATTTAAGAAAATTTTACTTGATGTTGCCTAACACATCCAATCATATACTTTTTTTTTTTTTTTAAGAATCACACATTTGAGGTTTCGATGCAAATTCTTTTCCAAATTGTCTCAACATTGATATACAGATTTTATGTTATCTTTTTTGTGTTTTCACATTTGAAGCTTGAATTTCCCAAGTACCCTTTTTAATATCAGATTTCTTTCCTGGGTTGCTGTGGCATGGCTCTCTAGTACACATCTTGACAGAAAAAACTAATGCCTTTTCCAACTATAAAAATCAAGGGATGCTCCGATCCCACGTTTGACTTGCTATTTTCTTGATGGATGAATATAACTACAAGTAAATCCAATTTGCGAGACAATAAATAAATGGATTAACAGTGAATTATATGAATAGTTCAATGCGACGAAGGTCATTTCCTTTGCTCCTTTATTCACTCTTTGGGGTGAAAATTTTCCAAGGGTACGAATGTCGTAGGGCTTAAGCTATACTTTGGGCGGAAACAGAGGCCTCTGTCCCTACTGTTGTTCCCATTGTTACACGACATGAACATAGAAACATCGGACACAGGGCATTTTTCCAAGAAATGTCTACAAATAAGTACTTAATTATGTAGGGACTCGTGTTTAAATAGATTATGAAAATGAAAACTATGGAAAAGATCATTTGAATTGGTTCAATATTTCAATTCATATCTTAGAATATATAGTCACGGATTCATATTAACTTAACAGTTGGTCAATGGCTGGCTGCTGCTCTAAAACTCATCGGAAAGATCCTTTTTGTTTGGCTGGCATGCTAAAACAGAGGAAGATCTTTGCCTTTTGGAGGTTATCAACTTTTTCCACATTGCAACAAAAGAAGCTGCTTTGTCCACTTTGGGGTGAGCAAATTTCCGAGTAGAGGTCCATAATTAATTGCATAATATATCAATGTCAATTTTTTTCTTATTGTTCTTCTTTTATTTGCTTTAGTTGTGGATTTAGGTTGATTCTTTCTGCAGTGATGTAAGGATACTGACAGGCTCACCTCTTTAGTATTTTTAATACGATTATAGGTATCTCATGTTTTGTTTGGATTAATCTCTTTTATGAACGATTCTAAAGGTACATTCTTTCAAATTAATCTAGTGCATTCCGAATTTCATTTTCGGAATGCTTCTCAAAATGATCAAATCTTGATTGATAAAAAATGAATCTCTTCTCCTTATCAATTGGACTGGTAAGTTTTGATTTTTTTAAAGAAGCATAAATAAACCATAGTATAAGACTTAAATTCAAGAAAAAGAAAAAAAAATCACCATCAACTGTACCTAAATTCAAGAAAAAGAAAAACAAATCACCATCAACTGTATATGGATGATTCCCTACATCATCCGACATTGACAATTTGACATGGAAGCCCAACAAAAGACAGACAAATAAAAGCAACAGTTACCAGTCAGGTGCCTGCAACTATTTGTCACCATATTATGGACATAGCCATTGCTTTACCCAACTTCTGAATATTATATCTAGACAGTTTACTACATAGGCCAAGAAGGAGAAAGAAGAGAGATTAATGTTTAGATCATATTACGAAATTAATAAAAAGGGATTTTGAGAATCTTAATAGTACTTCATTTTGGTGCAATCCAATCCAGATGTTGAGCACTGCATTTCATATCATTTCTGATATGGCCGATGGTATTATTTGATGGCATAAACAGAAAACTGAGAATAATCTGTTGGATATTGACAATCAATTACCAAAAAATGAATTGGGTCATTGTGTTTGAATACAGCATTCAGTTTTGTACAATGGAATACAACAATTGATTTATGTACAGAATGCAGGAAGGAATACAGCAAGTGATGGTTAGAAGAAATTCATGAATTATTGACAAAAAATCCCATTGCCAATAAACGTTCTCCACAATCCCTCCACCATTCCGTTGTTATTGTCTGATGCTATGGGAACTATGTTTCCCAGAAATCTTTACGTGTAACCCCTGCTGGGGACTTTAGTTGGTTTTCTTTAAAGCACCTTTATCCACCAAAAAAAAAAAAAAAAACATTTATAGATTGTTACCATTGCTAATAACTATTGGAAACACCATCTATAATTCTGTCATTCACATCTTTTTGGCAAAGAATCTGTAACAGCTACGAAGCATTCCTAATAGATGAGACACTTGGATTTTTGTGTCCTTTCTTTCTTTGACATTTTTCATATAATTTTAGGCTTGTATCTTTTATAATGATGACAATTAAGGGTTTTCTTTGGAACTTTTGATATAGCTTTGGCGCAGGCAGGCATCATTCCCAGCACGCTTTCAGGGAGGATTACCGGTTTGATGGTTTAAAAGACCAAGAAGGAATCAACCTTCTCCTGACCAGTAAAGCTGCACAGTCATTCATGAATTTCATCGGCAACTTTAAATTTTCATTTTTACTCAGTGAAAAATATCTGGTCTTGTAGATTCGTATCTCGACATGATCTTATAAACTGGAAAGCACTAGTAGAGTATGACTTTACCACCATCCGGTTGAATTTCTTGTATTTGTTTAGGAACTATTAGACTGGTGAAGCGCCGTACCATTCTTTTCATATATCTTAAAGCGTGACTTGATTACAGTCCAGATATCAAGGACAAAAATAGATTACATGGATTTGAAGGAGATCAGTCCAGGTGAAGGTATGGGTGAGAAAAAAATTGAAGTGGAGTCGAGAATCTTACGTACTCAAGTGAGCAAAAATTTTTCCTTTCCAGTTTCTTACAGATAAATTCTACTGCTATAGAAACTCAAACTTATGTAGAGAATGGGATATATAATTATTGCGGTCTGTTGCCTTTCTCTAAGAACTTTTATACTTCAAAGATGTTCCCGTGATCCAACTCATGCGTTTTGCTAGATTGGAGTTCTCACAGAAGAGCTTGAATCTGTCAGAAAACATTGAAAGCAATATGGAAACTGTCGATTTTCTGTTCCTGTTCCTGTTCCTGTAGTATCTTTGGTAAGTACATAGCTTGATTTTTTATTTTTAAATACAAAGACAGACAATTTTCTTTTGTTACTGTTTTGTCTCTGGACTTGTAATCTGTTTGAAAACATTATAGGTTGGGTACACGAATGCTGGCAAGATTACACTTCTAAATCAATTGACAGGAACTAATGTTCTTTCCGAGGACCTAATGGTTGCGAATTTCTTCTGAGACACTGTTGGTTTCATCCAAAAGTTACCCAAAACCCTGGAAATGCTTCTCACATTTTGGAGATGTTTATGTTAGGAGAAGCTCCGTGTCAAAGAGATTGCCTGCTGATTTTGAACTAATTTATATGCGATTTATTCTCTTTGAAAGATGTCATGTTTCTATTGAATCTTAATGACAAAATGTACATTGAGTGGAGCCCAAAAAATCATGTCAGCTCTGTTTAATGATTGCTAACTTGCTGAATTCAGAGCAACATTGGAGGAGATATCGGAGTCTTCTCCTTTAGTTGCTTGTGGTGGACGTCAGGTATAATTTTCTCAAGCTATGGGTTATGTTTAGGTTCTTTTTTTTCCTCAAATTGATCAACTTAGAACGCTTCCTGTGAACTTCAGGCTTCCCCTAGCAGAGCAGAGGATCGATGCTGTGGAAAAAGTTCTTTTAGAACTATATGTGTTAGCAATTCCGAAGTTACTGGTCTG